CAATATAAGTATATCAGAATATTCTAAAAAGAGATGTAGATATATGTCATTTACTACGGTTAGAACAATTTTTATGATAGAAGTAATGGAGGAAAAAGCCCATAAAGCTTCTTTTTATCTTCTCTCTCACCTCTTCTTTTCTCCCTTCTCTTATCACCTTCCTTAGCTTCTTCTTGGCAAAGAAATGAAATAAGGGGGAGGGTGGATGAGTGGAGGAGAAATTTATATTAAAAAAAATATTAGTATGTAGCACCGCAATGCTCTAACCTAATGCCACGGCAACATAGCAATGCATGCTTATTCCAATGTTATTATACCACAGAAAGCATCAGGACCACTATATTGAATTCTAGCACCCTTGTGTTGCACACCCCAGAAGCGTTGCATTCAAAATCATAATGTTATGGCACTCATATGGAGATTTTCATATTTTTTAAAATATTTTTCAAAATTTCTAGTTGTTACAGCACTTGTATGTAAGAGTTGTGGTAGGATACATCTTGGTTCGTGCTGCACGATGATAGGATAGTGCTTTAGGTGTGGTCAAACTAGACACAAGATGGCTGAGTGTATGTAGGAAGAACATGATCGATGTTCTGAGCTTAAGTCTAAGAATTTTATTCTATCTACAAGAAGACCAAAAACTATTATGCCTCACATGTTTATTAAGAGATCCACTAGTAGAAGCAGTGGCTCTGTTTCTATGGTAGGGAGACTGTCTGGAAGAGCCTAGTAGTTAAATTGCTCCAATTCCAATACAATATAAGTTTATAGTTTGACTCAACATGAGGCCAAAGATGCTCTAGATGTAGTTACATGTATGAACTTTATTTATAATATGCCTTTTCGCATTTTATTTGATTCTTAAACTAGTTACTCATTTATTTCTAAGAGATGATTTGATTCGTTGCACTTTCATTTAGTATTATGTTCTTTTTCTCTATTTATTATTTTGCCAATTGAAGATGATATGGTAGCTAGTAGTGTATATTTTTTGATATTGAAATATATAATATGAAGGGGAGATCTAACATGATATTGTTACTTATTTCAGAATTTGATATCATTTTGGATATAGATTGGTTAAGTCGATATGAAGCTTAGATTAATTATTTGAAAATAGAGTTACTTTATTATGGGTAATGAGAGTTATATATTCCAGAGAGTTAGGGGTGTTCTATAATGTCTGCTTTTTGCTATAAAAGTGGATAAGTTATGGAGAAAATGATGTGTGGTATTTTGGCATATGCTCGTTATAGGAGCCCAAGATCTGGATCTTATTTGAAGTCTTATTAGTACCAAAATTTTATGATCTCTATCTTAGTGTGCTCTGTGGGAAGTGCTTATTTTGTTTGTGAAGAAGAGGGATGGTGTCATGCTCATTTACATATATTTTAGGGAACTGAATAAAGTAATAATTAAGAACAAATATCCTCTGCCAAGGATCAATGAATTATTTTATCAACTTGTAGGAGCTTTTGTATTTTCAAAAATTATTCGAAGATCTGAGTATTATCAAGTAAAGGTAAGACATGCAGATGTGATGAAAACTATGTTTAGTACTCGATATGGGTTTTACGATTTCTTAGTTATATCTTTTAGGTTGACTAATACATATGCAGTTTTTTTGGATATGTTGAACTTGATTTTCATGGAGTATTTGGATCAGTTTGTGATTATATTTATAGATGATATTCTGGTTTATTCAATTTAGAATGATTATATAGTATATTTGAGGATTGTTCTGGAGATGTTGAAGCGACATGAGCTATATGCGAAGTTTTTTAAGTGTGAATTCTAGCTAAAGAGTATTTAATTTTTTGGGCATATGTTGAGTAGTACAAATATCTCTATAGATCCCTAGAAAGTTCAGGATGTTGCTGATTGGTTGATGCCTACTTCTGTACTTGAGGTACGCACCTTTCAAGATATAGTTGTTGTTGCATATTATTTATAAAAAGATTTTCTCAGATTTTTGCATCTCTGACAAGACTAACTCAAAAATCAGTGGCTTTTATTTGGACATTTGATTGTGAGGAGAGTTTTTAGATATTGAAAGGTTGTTTGACATATACTCCAATTTTGATAGAGGCTTCAATGCCGTGACAATAATTTTTGGTGCTACTACTCCCGAAAGCCTGACACCGTAGCATCACAAACTCAACACCGCAATGCTCTACCCCAAATAAAAATTCATATTTTTATTTTAAATTTATTTTAAAAAAAATAGATTATTACAGCATGTGTGGCAACCAGGGGAATTCGTTTGTAATAGAAAATGAATTGAATACATAGCCTTTATTTCTTCTGAGTCCTTGTTTCTTCGTTCTTATTCTTGTCTTTTCCTTTCCTTTGCAATTCTGACATGGTATCAGAGCCATAATGACAGATCAAGACTCCGCAGCATCCCGCCCTCCCACATCTGATCTCTCAAATGCTCCTTTCCGAATTCATTATTCTAACTCCTCTAAAATTTTTTAGCTCAAACTTGAAGAATCTTGTCCCAACGCAGTTGTTCACTCCAGAAAAATCATCTTAATTTTAAAAAGATGCGAACCCCGCTCTCACGAACTTATGGGTTCTCTTTAATTTTTTCGGAGGTAGATTGAGTTTAATATTTAACCAGATTTCTCCTGAGAGTAGTGTCATGGTTTATTTAGATCTGGGTTCTACTTCCTATGAGCGCAAGCCCTCATAGTTAATTATCCCTCCTAACACATTAGAAGAGCACTCTCGATTAAGGATGAAATATACTTAGCTTTGTACAAGAAGTGTGAGAATGTGCAATAGATATTTAAATTTAGTTATGAGGGTATGAAGGTACACCCGATCAAGATCCCATGGTTCTGTCATCCCGGGCATACTGTGGGTTCAGTCTACCAACACTAACAACCATTGATTGTAGTGTCCAGGGAATCTGATTATCAGCCATGGGTTGCCTTCTCTCATGGATCCCGAATAGACTGAAGTGGATATGTGTGAATTTTAGTTTGGGTTGGGGTTTATGGCTTCCTTAGAAGTTGCCCGTTAATTTGTTTAGTTTGGGGCTTATGGTTCCAATTAGGAGTTGCCCGTATGATTTGATTTGGATAGGGGCTTATGGCTTTCATTTGAAAGTGGCCCTGATAGTGGGTGACTTACGACCTCTGTTAGAGGTGGCCCATTAATTTGTTTGAGTTTTAGGTTTAGGTTCGTTCACTTAGAACTTCCCTAACATACGGGTCTTACTGCTTCACTTAGAAGTAGCCCTAATAACGTGTCTTATAACTTAGCCATATAGGCTAAGATGCCCAAAAGGAATTTGAGTTTTGGATTTAGGGTCATTCATTTTAGAAGTTCCCTAACAAACGGGTCTTACTGCTTCGCTTAGAAGTAGCCCAAATGGTGGGTCTTACAACTTAGTCCTATATACTAAGATGCCCAAAGGGATTTGAGTTTTGGTTTTAGGGTCGTTCGTTTAGAAGTTCCCTAACAAGCGGGTCTTACTGCTTTGCTTTGAAGTAGCCCAAATGGTGGGTCTTACAACTTAGTCCTATAGGCTAAGAGGCCCAATTAAGGGGTCTAGAGCTAGGTAGCTATCTAACTATTACCCCTAAAGACTGGACTTACGGCTTTCATTGAAATTAGCCAAAGGAATTTTAGGAATTTATTGTTTCACTTAATAAATCTATATTTAGTGAAAGAATTATTTATAGGATTTACTACTCATGTTAGAAGTAACCTATAGAATTGATATTAGCTGGGGCATAGCTTTAGACGCTTTTATTCCCTCGACACTAGTGTTAGTGTCTTGTTTTGTGCTTGTAGTTTGTTTTTACTACAATAGTTTATTGTTCTACTTGCTTTCTAGTACTTTGCTCTATCTATAGTAGTTAGAATTATACTTTTTCAGTATTGATTTTTATTCGTGATTGTGCTGACATTTGTCTGTTTACTTGTAGGTACGCGGTGCTTGCATCAATTCAGGGAGCCCACAAATAGATACAGTTTTATGTTACTGCTGAGGGACAGAGAGTTTGTTGGAGAGCATTTGTATTTGAGACATTCTTAATAAATTTGCTCAATATATATATTTGTCTCCCTTTTTTTTATAAATTTATCAAATAATTAATATTATAATTATTTTAAATTTATAAAAAAAAATGTTCAAGTCTAGAATTTTTTTGAGTAAATTTCGGCAGCCTTTCGGCGTCCCCTCCCCGATGCCGGGAGGTAAGAGAATGGCTCGACTCTACCGGAGCGAATCAACGGCGAGGAGATTTAGTCTTTAGAAACTTTGATGATCGCTGGTTGCATATTGAATGGTTGCCAATGCTTATATAGAGATCGTAGTTGTTTGACGATACTTGATTGTATATCCCTTTTTTATTTTAATTTATCAAATAATTAATATTATAATTATTTTAAAATTAAATGAGCATTCGAACATTTTCCAATCTTCCAAAAATTTAGCTAACTCCTAAAATTTTTTAGAAAATTTTGGCAGCCTTTCAGCGTCACCTCCACGGCGCCGGGAGGTAAGGAAGGCATTTGCCCATTTAAGTCCGCCCGGTCGGAGCGAATCGACGGCCGAGGGCTTCGGGGCGTTGACGGGCCCTGAAATTCGTGTTTTGAAGTTCAAATTGAAGATGATTTGTTGCAAGTAATTGAATGTCAGTCGTTTGTCAAAATTTTGAGAAAATTTTGGCAGCCTTCCGGCGTCCCCTCCCCGACGCCGGGAGGTAAGGAGGGCATTTTCCCTTTTAAAGTCCGCCCGGTCGGAGCGAATCGACGGCCGAGGGCTTCGAGGCGTTGACAGGCCCTGAAATTCGTGTTTTGAAGTTCAAATTGAAGATGATTTGTTGCAAGTAATTGAATGTCAGTCATTATATATATTATAATATATTATATAATATACATATAATATAATATTATATATATATGTATATATATTATTATATATACTATATTATATAATATATCTTATATAATATATAAGAAAATGAGAAAAGGCAAGAATCGGGAAGAAGATCAGGGTCCGATCGGGCAAGGAGGCGGAGCCACGCACGCACGGAGGCAAGACTCGGCGGCTTCGTCGGCGGCGGTTCAGGCCGGAGCAGGAGGTCGGCGGCGGTTCAGGTTGGAGTAGGAGGTCGGCGGCGGTTCAGGTTGGAGTAGGAGGTCGGCTTATTCCTCTGTGCGAGAGAGGCGGCTTCGATGCTAGGGCAAGGCGATAGGGTCGACGTTGGCTTTGGCTGTAGGGTCGTCTGGCGAGGTTAGAGTCAAAAAAACAGAGCGGCGAATCACAAGGAGACGGCGGCTATGTGCGAACGAGAGGGAGATCGGAAGAGGGCTTCGTTCTTCTGAGGTGAGTCTTCTGAAAACTTCTTCTTTCTCTATCTGCGTTTCCGAGAGCGTGAGAAAAACAGAATCGGAAAACTTTAACTCAATTTCTCTGTGCGTAACCTCTTCCCCTTCAGTTATTTCGTTCTTTTATGCATTGAAATAACAGTTATTCCAACGACGTGGAGGCAACGTGGTTCGTGGGCAATGCAATAACGTGCTTCAGTTTCATTTGAATTTTTATTTTTATTTCTTCCTCATATGTATTTATTTATTTTTATCGCCACATACATATAAAGCTTGGCACGTTCTCATTTTTCCTTGGTAGATTATTGATTGTTTATATCTTTTCTAAAAAAAAAATGCTGCTGAGTTGTTACACCATGGTGATGTGGCATGATTACATGCCAATTTCAACTTTTATTTTCATTATGCTGAATTATTATGATGCTTGCCTGAACGTATCTATGTCATTCTCTTTGTAAAGCTTGAGAATGAGAAGACTTATCCAAGTGCCCATAAGGTGTTTGATGATTTGTTTCTTGTTGGGATTTCAAACAATATCCCAGCTTATAATTTATTCTTGATGTGATGATTATTTAGACAAAAATTACAGATGATTATTTAGACAAGACTTACAGACATTGTTATCTGTAAGCGTCTAAAAAGAGTTTAAAGATCCCCATACATTTAACATTTGCTGCTTCCATTCCAAAATATGCTTTGACATCACTCTTATAGCCCTTTGTGCTTGGCTAGCAAAGGTTAGTGACAATGGGCAGTTGAGTAGGAAATAAATAGCTTAAGGTTTATGATCAAATCTTTATCAAATGCATCCAAATACGCAGAAAAATTCTTTTGGCAAGTTTCAATTTCAAACTGATATTGTGATGCGATGTTCTAATTATTTTAATCATTCACAAATCAAACATCGCATTCATCTTTGATCTTAACCCTTTTGCATTAAAATTACCATAATAACGCCTTAATTTTGTTCTGATATTAATTTAGCAATTTTATGACATTGCTATTATATTAAGTTTCAACAATGATATCCTCTGGATCTAAAATTGACCCAGCTGCCGCTATGTTGTCCACTAGAGCCTTTACTTGAGCTAGGTATTGATTAACAGATTGGTCCTTCATCTCAATGCGATACAGTTCATTCTTGAGTTGAATAACTCGTGAATGATTTGTTGGTTGGAGTCATTTTTCAAGTGTATCCCAGATCTCATGAGTGGTTTGCAAGGTTATAACATACGGTAGAATACTCGGTGATATAGTGGAGTATAGCGCTGCCGCAAGATTTTGATCAGTTAATTGCCATATTTGATTCTTTGGGTTGGGAGTTATAATGCCACTGGAGGAAGAAATAAGCATCGATGGACAGATTTCTGTGCCGGTAATGAATCCTTCAAACCCATTTGCAGAGAAAATTTTAAGAACCTGAAGTTTCCATATGGTATGATTGTCACTATTGAGTTGAATGTTGACAATGTGCTTTATATTGGAGATGATGAACTTCAGAGGTGCAGGAATGGTGAAATCAACTGCAGCAACTGCGGATGGAGTAGTTTGAGGTGTTGAGGAGATTTGACTGTCAGCCATAGAGTTGAGCAGCTATTGTGGTAATGCCTGGAAGCTCTGATACCATGAAGATTTTTGCAAAATAGAGGTTAGAAATGCAGGAAGTAATGAACAAGAAGAAGCATATTTATGTGAAGAGTTTTCTTCATTCCTTCATATGAAGCTATATTGAAGTTTCACTGTGTATACATATTTATCAGAGGGAACCTCATGCACTTGATGGAAAGACCAAGCAATAATATAATCTAATATAATTTTTAGAATGTTTTAATTATTGAAAATAATTTCAACAACAAACTATGTTCACTATTTTCTCAATAGAAATACTATTTCTCTTACGTAATCTAGTTGGTTCAATACTAAATTATTTAAATAATTAAGACTACTTTTAATAAACAAGGATAATTATATATTTTTAATATTTTTCTGCTGCACTTCAAATGGTCCCGACAACTAAGTAAAAACTTCATTCATGCCCATATTAGACTATAATAATACAATCATGTGCCACATGGCATGATCACCATTTGCCATATGGCAATTGTGTGGGTGCCATTTGAAGCTGTAAATCATGCATTTAGGGTTTAGGGTTTAGGTTGTAACATATTATTTAAGATGATTGAATAATTATAATTTTATTTTATTTTTATTTCTATCGGCATGATTACCTTGTTAAAATTGTAATTTAACCTCTTAGGAGCACACCGCTGCCGCTTTCTATTTTTTATCGAAAGCTAACATCGTTGAATAAATTTATCTTGATAATAAGTTCGTTTGGATTGTTCCGTACTGACATCACTCAATAACTGTTATCTAATCTTTAGTACTCGACCGTCATCTCCTGCCCTTTGTTGGCTTATGCTACTCAAATTTGACGTCTAAAATTTCCAAAATACCATTGGTCATTGCAAACTAATCCTGACAACCTTAGTTAATCGTCTTTGCCGACCATCAACTAACACAGACACCCATAATCATGTATATCTTCTCCAATATTTTCAACTACTCTCACAATAGGTAAAGCCGATAATTAAAACTTTATAATCGTGTCTTTTATAATTATGGGGAAGGCTGAGTTTCTATGATTTTAATCTAAATAGTGAATTGCTTCACCTTAGCTAAGACCTATTATTTTTCCCTTACTAAATTGTTCATGTAAAAACTATCACATCTCTTGTGAGCTTTTCCTATCTATTTGTGTGTGAATCATTATGCAACTCTAATTTTATTATCGTAAATATTCTTGTACATAAAAAAAAATAAATTTTAAATTTTTTGGATCGTACTTTAAATAAATGTAATGAATTAATATTATACTACTCCAAAAATAAATTTTAATTTTAATTTTTTTTTGCTAAAATTTTTATAAGGATATTTCAGACAATTTTATTACGCATCATTTGATTGTAAAAATAAAATCAAATAATTTTTATCTTGATCTGTTGGTCGGGAGTATTGACTACCAATCAAATGATTTTGTGTTCTAGTCTTGCTTATGTGATGCTTGTATGAATTTGTTTTAACTGCCTAAATATAAATAATAATAATAATAAAAATAAAGTTATTCACTGTAGATGAGCACTAATTTGCATTAAGAGCTACTATATCCTATTGACCTTCTGCTAATGACTAAAGCAATTAAAAAAAAACTCTCTAAATACAGATATGAATGCCAATAAGCACTTCTTAGCTAGTGATACAATTTTCTGGGATAATTATTTTTATAGTTAAAAAATTAATGTTGACAAAAAAATTATTCCACTATGACAAATATCTTTGCTACTATTATAAAACCAGCTTGAGTTTCTTCTCAAACAAAATTCTAGCTTTTTATTTTAATTATTCAAATATATTTGATTTTATTATCTTGCTATGATTAATTGATAATTTAAAAATAATTATTATGTAATTATTTTTCATTTTAAGTAAGTAAATGAAGAAATCATTTGAATTCCCTAATGCTTCCCCGTCTTCCTTCAAATTTGATATGGTATACTTTGGAAGAAGCATGTATCACAAAGAAACAAGCACAATAACAGGAATGACAGTAGAAAGCTGTATTGATTAAAAACAAACTTGCGTTCTTCTTTCCTGGAAGAAGATATACAATCAAGAGAGCTAATTCTCTTGCTAAAAATAACCCAAACTAAGCAAAAGCTACTATAGTACTATAAAATTATAAATAGAAATTAGAATAGTGGCTGCTAATGTTTCCGAACATAAATGTATAAGCACCATGTGATAAAATGAACCATAGGAATATAAGGTTATAATGCATCGCATCATTCTCCCCCAGTAACGGAAGAATCCGACTTGGTCGGATGATAGGTGAAGATGTCTGCAACATTGAAAGTGGATGAAGTGTTAAGCTCAGGTGGTAAATCAACGATATAGGCGTTGTCGTTGATTTTCTTGGTAATTGCAACAGGACCAATTCTTCGCCAGCTCAATTTAGAGTAGGTTCCGGGGGGAAACCGTTCGCGTCGAAGGAAACCATGACTAACTCACCAGGGCGGAAGAGCCGTTCACAACGATGCTTGTCCGCAGCTTGCTTGTACTTAATATTGGATTGAATAAGTTTGTTGCGGATGTCAGTGAGTATGGTAGAGAATTGTTCATCCAATGCTGAAGCAGACTATACTAAACAGGCAATTTCAAGTTGAGCTATTCGACATACTATTGTAGGCAAACTCAGCTTGCCCCAAAAGGTCATCCTAGACCTTATGATGCTCTTGAACCAAACATCGAAGCATATTGTCGAGATTACAAAGCCCAAAAATAGACTTGCGGGGCGGCGAACTCACACTTAGATGAGTTTAAGTACAGCTAATTTTGTCTCAAAGCGGAAAGAGAGATCTAGCTTTGAGAACACCTTCGCTCCAGATAGCCTTTCCAATAAGTCCTCCACTCTAGGTACTGTGAATCAAAATTTCAAAGTTATTTTTATTAATGGCCCGACTGTCCACGCACATTCGCCAACTGTCGTCTTTTGTTGGCACAAGTAAAGCAGGAATCGCACACAGGCTAAGGCTCGGCTGAATCAGCTTTCCAACAGCTCTTCTATAATTTGTTGGAGGATATGATGTTCTTTCAGGCTCATTTTAGAATGAGGAAGATTGGAGAGAGTGACTCCTGGCTAGGGGGGTCAATTTTGGGTCACGACCACGGGTCGATAAGCTAGAATTGACCCGACACTATTCGGGTCAACCCGAATCCGACCCGTTTGTAAAAATGGGTCATTTATTGGGACCCGAACCCGGCCCGCTTCGGGTTCGGGTCAACCCGACCCGACACGGATTTTCGATTCGACATGAAGGAACGTCGTCGAGCTCCCGTCGCTAGTTCTAGTTTCGATGAGGTGGCGAGTTGGCCAGCTGTCTTGATTTTTAATTTGATAGGAAAGAACATCGTCGAAGGAAGATTAAGGCGCTCTTGTCG